AATGAAAAAAAGATGAATGTGTCCTGCAGACTGTTAGAGCAGAAAAACTTCATAGCAGTTATAAAAGCAGAAATAAACAACCATTTATGTTTGAGAAGAATATCTCTTAAAAAACTTGATCAAATTCCAGCAGACATAGCTTCTAAAAAGGATATTTCTTTTTTTAAAAAATCCTTAACATTGTGTCACACAATCTGAAATAACTTTAAAATGTATACCAACATTCAACAAAAATAGTAAGAATTGCATCTCAACTTGCTCTCCAAATAGATGTGGAGATTCAATATCAATATTGAAGTTATATTTATGAAGGAAAGCAAGTCAACCTTTTAGTACTGTAAACTCAGTACTGAGGGGAGGGAGAGGAATCCTGAGACAAATTATGAAATATTAAATTAAAATGGAGAAATTCGAATTCATTTTTACAGACAAATATTGGTGTGAGCTAAATTAGTAACCAGATAAATTTGAAGAGGCCTACAGGATGTGCACTGAGTTATCCTAATTCCCACCTCCCCATCTCTATGCCAAAGCACAAAAAAATTGAATTCAGACTATTACTTATTGAAAAAACATTTTAAAAATCACAATGAAAACATTTAAAAACCTAACAGACCAAGAAAAAAAATCTCTCACCAAGCCCACAATACAGCTTTCAAGATACTTTAGATAAAACTCTACGCTATTGTATCATAAGCACATAATAAGGCACGTAATAAGAAATTAAGTAAATACACAGTAATTCTGATTTAAGTAATAGAGATTATAGTGGTACAAAAAACCCGACTTTAATTTATTTTTTTCTAAAGACAACCTTACCAAAAATAACTTTTTAAAAATTTGCCAAACCATATGATAGACCTGAATATTTTCCTTAAAACTGTAAACATTTTTTTTTTCTGAAAAGAAATGTAAAAAGCTGTCTGAAATCTGGACTATTTTCTCCTTTCAAATGCTCCAAAAGTCATATTACACAACATCATTTCACAATAAAACCCCCAAATATCTGAAAGCCATCATTCCGTGATTTTATTTCTAACTATTAGTGTCAATGATGCCACATTTCAAAAGACCATTTATTTTGATTTTATTTTACTTTAATCCAGAGAAAGAGAGAGAGAGAGAAGGCACTGCCTTTCCTCCAATAATTTCATCCCTATAATCAATTGCAGATTTAAAAAAAAATGCATCAGCTATTCAGAAAGATCAGCCAAAATATGGATATACCATTCAATAAAATAAATATTGTTCAATAGATATTCATTGTATAAGCTTGCTTTTCACTGAGAAAAATCAAGCACTCTTTCACATTCAAAAATAGTGTTTAATCCGTACAGAGGAGAGATTTCATCATCTGAAGCTTTCTTTGAATGGAATAATGTAGAGGCTTTGAAATGTTGTGTAAGGCTAATTTGGAACAGAAACTAAGAGGGATCCTGAAATATAATTCAAAGGAGGGAATTTGATTGTAAATATTGAGGCTAAAGATTAATTACATAGAAGAAACTGTTTCTGGAGGAATATTAACCTATAATCACATTACCGGCAGAAAAAAATGGAAAGATCATCCCTTGATTCTTTACTGTGTATACGGATACACATGATCATCAAACTCAGCATGAATTTCATATTTCTTTTTTTAAAGAGGCAGAGTCGGTCTAAGTTGTTTCAGTCTCTGTCTGAAGGTTTTACTGAAACTGTGGTGCAGTCTTAATTGGAAAGGTCACAGAAAAGTCAGATTGTAGATTTGGAGAAAGAAACTCTGAGGTGATGGTTTTCCCCAAGATCATGATTATGAAGCTCAATGAGAGCCTGGATTGCTTCTTCCACAGAGCCCAACTGGATGAGAGCCATTTTGCGATCTTTCCTGAAGTTCAACAGAAGAACAAAATTAATTATAACCAATTTTTGATTGCACTAACACCTCCCAAAAGCTGTGCTAGAGGTTTTCAGCTATTGTATTATCCACTGAAACTTTGTTCAAGAATCCTGTTGAATCTCAGAAATTAAAAAGGATAGATATATATGGCTGGATAGGCCTCTAAGGAAATTTTAAGTATTGGCCATTCAAATGGAGTAATTTTTGCTTATGAATCTGTATTCAACTGATGCCCCAAAATAATGCTAACTCAGTGGTCACCAACGAGTAGATTGGGATCCACTGGTAGATCATGGAGCCTCTGACAGGTGATCCTGACTGATCTGGCCAAGAGGCTATTAAGTGACAGCAAATCAGCTGCTCATCTCCTGCCCTTTGCCTTGGAGCTGCCCCCACCCCTGGGAGCCTCCTGCTTTCTGTGCAGAGCAGGAAGGGAGAGGAGGAGGCGCTGATGTCAGGGTTCCCCTCTCCCACCCTGTACTCTATCTCCACAGAACAGGGGGAAGGGCAGCACAACAGGGCTTGGGATGGAGGTTGTTTGCTGGCTGCTTTTGAGAGTGGTGCAGGGCCAAGGCAGGGGTGAGCCTGCCTTAGCCTCACAGCACCCCCACCAAGAGCCACCTGAGGTCAGCAGTGCCCAGCTGGAGCTAGCTCCGATCCCCTGCCCCCTGAACCCTCCTATACCCCACACCCCTGCCCCAAGCTCAGCTCAGAGCCCCTCTCACACTCCAAAATCCCTTGGCCCAAGACCAGAGCCTGTGTCCCAACCCTCTGCCACTGCCTGGTAAAAGGGAGGGAGAATGAGGAGGGCGCGAGGTAGGATGGAGTGAATAGGGGCAGGGTCTCAGAGAAGGGGCACAAAGGAGGCGGGCCAGGGTATTTGGGTCTGAGGTAGATCCTGGATTGCACTTAAATTCAGAAAGTGATCTTGTGCTTAAAAAGGTTGAAGACCACTGTGCAAACGGGACACTGTACTGCTGCAACGGCCATCTTTCAGGTAATATTTTAGAACCCATAACTCTTTTTGAATGAAATTATTTCCAGTTCTCTGTCCAAATTTCAATCTGGGTATCTACATCCTATCATCTTAAACGTCCCAGGCAATACTAACAAGAATTATATATTATATTTCATTTCCTGTATTGTACAGCGATAGTATGTTCTGTTTACGAGTTTGCTAAAACTCACTGCAAATATAGCTACATCTTTGTCCATAAAATTTATTTGGGTACGCCGTTTCTACACACAAAAATAATTCACTATCCTTCAAGATTAAAATTTCTGTAATAAAATTATTAAATGCTCTAATCTGCACTGAGAACTTACTGGAAGAATTTGAAGGCTTTCACAGTACATCCAGTATCTGCAAAAAGGTTCTTCAGGTCATCAACAGTAACTGAAGGACTATAACAAAAAAATTCTCAAATTAAATATAATCCTGTTATAGACTGTATTTATATGCCTTTTTTGAACTTCCGTGTCAGACTTCCCATGTAAAGTATGAAGTACACATTTTCCCCTGACCATCTTAGGTCTGTATAAACTGGCTCAAGTGTAACTTAACATTTCAGCATTCAACAAATTACCATGACAAGATTTAGGTATTGCCCCCTCATTGCTCACAAATGCAACTGAATGGAATTCATTCAGAACTCAGTTCCAATCCAAGAAAAATCTATTTTTGATATATATGTAACCTGATTTGGACATTTTTACTTTTCAAAGCATGCTGTTTAATTCAGAGCAAACACTGTCCTCTGAATAAGCCTTTGGTAAGGCTTTTTTTAAGCCTTTAGTAAGACTTAAAAAACTTCACAATGTTCCTTTAAGGCAAGGGTGAGTAACTTTTTTGGTCAGGGTCTACACACCAGTGAGAAGCAAAAAACAAAAACAACCTTCCCTCGATCACTCCCCACTCAAAAGAAAAAAACCACTCCTCAGACTTGGCTCCCAGAAAGCAAAACAATTAAATAAAGTTTAAAAGAAAATACCTCACTGAACTGGCTCAGAGGCTGCTGGTACTATATTGACACTTTCTGATCTGAAAAATTTCCTGATTCTGGACCAGTGAGGTGCCAGACCAGGAAGGTACATCCTATATGAGGAGTCAGTATTTTTAAAACTAAATTTGTCCCTTTCAGGAGTAAAGGAAGTAACTATCTCAAAGACTTGGTCACTCAGAGCTATGTTTGCAAATTAACACCCTGCAAATTCTGTAGTTACAAAGCAATACAGACACTATAATCCATTTTTATGGTTTTTGACCATCGGGCAAAGAATCACTAAATCTTAGCAAACAGAAAAAGGCAAGGGAAAATATTCAGGAATGTCCAAGCTATAGATACTTTAAAAAATCCTCATATTTTTGACAAGTTTCTTTCCCAACTGAGTTGTGCATATTTGGGTACTTACGGAATGTTGGAGAGATGCAGAGTAGTAGATGGAGGGAAGATATTTTGGAAGTTCTTAGAGCCAGGTTTCTTAAAGCGATGTAAAGGGCTATTGCTGTAGTCCTTAGTTAGACCTTGGTCCTCTTGTCCCTCACGAGGAAGCTGAACAGTCTGATGCTTTGAAAGAGTGGCACGGAGCACCTTCCCATAAAGTCTCTGCCCATTCAAGTGGCTCATAGCTAGAACATAAATATTGACAGTAATGTCTAAACAGGAAAACAAAACTAAAACAAATCTCAGCACTGTGAATGCTTCAAGCTTCTGCTGTTTATGGCTGGACATAAGCGTCTCAAGTTTAATGACAACTACTACTCTCATTAAGCAGAGCTCCCATCTTTGACTGCACAATATTAAAATTTTAAACATAACTATAATAGGTGTAATACAACATCTAAATGTAATGATAATACAAAGAAATTCTTCAAATCCAATTGTTGTATTTTTAAAATTTTATATTTGATCAAACATCTACTATATATTTAAGAATTTGTGAACAAGCAAGTCTGTCTGTTCAAGAACTCCTAAACAGGAGGAGGAGCCAGGACCATCAAATTTGTTATGCAGTTTCCTCTTACCATAACTTAAAAGCAAGGTAAGAGTTTGGTTTTTGGGGGGAGGAGGGAGATAAAGCTCTTCCCCCACATACGGTGACACACAAAACCACATGGAAAAGAGACAATCACCGGGCAGGTGAAAGATGTTGGCTGGGGGTTGCATTCCTCCAACCATGAGCCTCCCATTCCTCAAGGGGGCCTTTAGGGAAGGTGGTGGAGGGTGGCTGTAGCACCCCTCCTCCTCCAATTCATATGGTAACATTACATTGCTGACTGTTCCCCTTAGGGAGCGAGGGGCCAGTTAGCTGTATTCCTCACTCTGGCTGGAAAGTGCAGGGGGGAGACAAACGTGGACCAGCCCCAGCTGAGGACATACCTCCTCCCCTAATTGTGCCCGCTGGAACTGCAGCGGCCCTGGTGAGGCACTTCTCACCTGGCCCCAAGCTGCTGCGATGAGAGAGGTCTGGGATTGTCCTCTCTCTCAGGGGCAGCCTGCATACTGCACCCCTCCTCCCAAACCCCACCACAAAGCAATGATGTCAATGAAGAAAAACAAAAATTAAGGATCCAAGCAATGCTGGGTAAATATTCTCATTTAAAATAAAAGAAAAATGCTTTCAACATCTTATTTTGGTACAATATTCTTAGTCTCACACTAAAGTAGCTTTCCCTCTGAATATTACAGAAGAAACTCACTTCTTACTTTAGAACAAAAAGCTCAACATGTCAAATTAAGTGCTTTGATATTTCTGTGCCATTCACTGTGAATGCACTAAAATTACTAATGCCTATAAACCATTATCATCAACAGAAATACAAACAGACTCATCCCATTATTAAGCTACACTGCAGATAACTTGTATTCTTATTACAAGTTTGACAACCCTCCGATCAAACAGAGTTTTAAACTTATTTTTGTACTGACTGGAGACTGGATTTTGCTAGTGGGTTATACTACTGTTTCAGTTATAAGGCAGTAATTGAACTAATTCTGAATTGCAAATTGTGCAGTGGCAGACATCACGCTTCTGAAATTCTAAACCAACTGTTAAAAAAATTAACCACTGTAATGGAAATTGCAGATATCAGTACAACAAACATGTCAATGAAAATCTGGTTATTAGTACCTAGTTGAGCTTGGGTTGCATCTGCCATCTGAACCAAAGCATTTTCTTTTTTGTTAAACATGATCTTCACTCGATGTACATCACCATACACCCCTGTGGACATTGGGAAAATGTACTTTCAATACCTTAACTTGCCTGAAGCATTTGATTATCTATGGTGCAAAACACTCAAAACATCAAGTATGTATTACTGAAGTTAACCAGAAGAAATGGAGAATAATTAATTTATTTAAAACAATTGGGCACGGATCTTTGTATGAAGAGCGTTAACGGTTATGCCTCTATGCATTTTTCTGAAGAAGCTAAGAATTAGGTGGCACCTCTTTCAGTGTTAACACCATGAACAGTTATTTTTCACTACCAACTCTGACAACTATATAAAGACTATGGATGTTAACTAACGATTAATTTACTAGTTGAGTACATGATTATGAAGCTCAATGAGAGCCTGGATTGCTTCTTCCACAGAGCCCAACTGGATGAGAGCCATTTTGCGATCTTTCCTGAAGTTCAACAGAAGAACAAAATTAATTATAACCAATTTTTGATTGCACTAACACCTCCCAAAAGCTGTGCTAGAGGTTTTCAGCTATTGTATTATCCACTGAAACTTTGTTCAAGAATCCTGTTGAATCTCAGAAATTAAAAAGGATAGATATATATGGCTGGATAGGCCTCTAAGGAAATTTTAAGTATTGGCCATTCAAATGGAGTAATTTTTGCTTATGAATCTGTATTCAACTGATGCCCCAAAATAATGCTAACTCAGTGGTCACCAACGAGTAGATTGGGATCCACTGGTAGATCATGGAGCCTCTGACAGGTGATCCTGACTGATCTGGCCAAGAGGCTATTAAGTGACAGCAAATCAGCTGCTCATCTCCTGCCCTTTGCCTTGGAGCTGCCCCCACCCCTGGGAGCCTCCTGCTTTCTGTGCAGAGCAGGAAGGGAGAGGAGGAGGCGCTGATGTCAGGGTTCCCCTCTCCCACCCTGTACTCTATCTCCACAGAACAGGGGGAAGGGCAGCACAACAGGGCTTGGGATGGAGGTTGTTTGCTGGCTGCTTTTGAGAGTGGTGCAGGGCCAAGGCAGGGGTGAGCCTGCCTTAGCCTCACAGCACCCCCACCAAGAGCCACCTGAGGTCAGCAGTGCCCAGCTGGAGCTAGCTCCGATCCCCTGCCCCCTGAACCCTCCTATACCCCACACCCCTGCCCCAAGCTCAGCTCAGAGCCCCTCTCACACTCCAAAATCCCTTGGCCCAAGACCAGAGCCTGTGTCCCAACCCTCTGCCACTGCCTGGTAAAAGGGAGGGAGAATGAGGAGGGCGCGAGGTAGGATGGAGTGAATAGGGGCAGGGTCTCAGAGAAGGGGCACAAAGGAGGCGGGCCAGGGTATTTGGGTCTGAGGTAGATCCTGGATTGCACTTAAATTCAGAAAGTGATCTTGTGCTTAAAAAGGTTGAAGACCACTGTGCAAACGGGACACTGTACTGCTGCAACGGCCATCTTTCAGGTAATATTTTAGAACCCATAACTCTTTTTGAATGAAATTATTTCCAGTTCTCTGTCCAAATTTCAATCTGGGTATCTACATCCTATCATCTTAAACGTCCCAGGCAATACTAACAGGAATTATATATTATATTTCATTTCCTGTATTGTACAGCGATAGTATGTTCTGTTTACGAGTTTGCTAAAACTCACTGCAAATATAGCTACATCTTTGTCCATAAAATTTATTTGGGTACGCCGTTTCTACACACAAAAATAATTCACTATCCTTCAAGATTAAAATTTCTGTAATAAAATTATTAAATGCTCTAATCTGCACTGAGAACTTACTGGAAGAATTTGAAGGCTTTCACAGTACATCCAGTATCTGCAAAAAGGTTCTTCAGGTCATCAACAGTAACTGAAGGACTATAACAAAAAAATTCTCAAATTAAATATAATCCTGTTATAGACTGTATTTATATGCCTTTTTTGAACTTCCGTGTCAGACTTCCCATGTAAAGTATGAAGTACACATTTTCCCCTGACCATCTTAGGTCTGTATAAACTGGCTCAAGTGTAACTTAACATTTCAGCATTCAACAAATTACCATGACAAGATTTAGGTATTGCCCCCTCATTGCTCACAAATGCAACTGAATGGAATTCATTCAGAACTCAGTTCCAATCCAAGAAAAATCTATTTTTGATATATATGTAACCTGATTTGGACATTTTTACTTTTCAAAGCATGCTGTTTAATTCAGAGCAAACACTGTCCTCTGAATAAGCCTTTGGTAAGGCTTTTTTTAAGCCTTTAGTAAGACTTAAAAAACTTCACAATGTTCCTTTAAGGCAAGGGTGAGTAACTTTTTTGGTCAGGGTCTACACACCAGTGAGAAGCAAAAAACAAAAACAACCTTCCCTCGATCACTCCCCACTCAAAAGAAAAAAACCACTCCTCAGACTTGGCTCCCAGAAAGCAAAACAATTAAATAAAGTTTAAAAGAAAATACCTCACTGAACTGGCTCAGAGGCTGCTGGTACTATATTGACACTTTCTGATCTGAAAAATTTCCTGATTCTGGACCAGTGAGGTGCCAGACCAGGAAGGTACATCCTATATGAGGAGTCAGTATTTTTAAAACTAAATTTGTCCCTTTCAGGAGTAAAGGAAGTAACTATCTCAAAGACTTGGTCACTCAGAGCTATGTTTGCAAATTAACACCCTGCAAATTCTGTAGTTACAAAGCAATACAGACACTATAATCCATTTTTATGGTTTTTGACCATCGGGCAAAGAATCACTAAATCTTAGCAAACAGAAAAAGGCAAGGGAAAATATTCAGGAATGTCCAAGCTATAGATACTTTAAAAAATCCTCATATTTTTGACAAGTTTCTTTCCCAACTGAGTTGTGCATATTTGGGTACTTACGGAATGTTGGAGAGATGCAGAGTAGTAGATGGAGGGAAGATATTTTGGAAGTTCTTAGAGCCAGGTTTCTTAAAGCGATGTAAAGGGCTATTGCTGTAGTCCTTAGTTAGACCTTGGTCCTCTTGTCCCTCACGAGGAAGCTGAACAGTCTGATGCTTTGAAAGAGTGGCACGGAGCACCTTCCCATAAAGTCTCTGCCCATTCAAGTGGCTCATAGCTAGAACATAAATATTGACAGTAATGTCTAAACAGGAAAACAAAACTAAAACAAATCTCAGCACTGTGAATGCTTCAAGCTTCTGCTGTTTATGGCTGGACATAAGCGTCTCAAGTTTAATGACAACTACTACTCTCATTAAGCAGAGCTCCCATCTTTGACTGCACAATATTAAAATTTTAAACATAACTATAATAGGTGTAATACAACATCTAAATGTAATGATAATACAAAGAAATTCTTCAAATCCAATTGTTGTATTTTTAAAATTTTATATTTGATCAAACATCTACTATATATTTAAGAATTTGTGAACAAGCAAGTCTGTCTGTTCAAGAACTCCTAAACAGGAGGAGGAGCCAGGACCATCAAATTTGTTATGCAGTTTCCTCTTACCATAACTTAAAAGCAAGGTAAGAGTTTGGTTTTTGGGGGGAGGAGGGAGATAAAGCTCTTCCCCCACATACGGTGACACACAAAACCACATGGAAAAGAGATAATCACCGGGCAGGTGAAAGATGTTGGCTGGGGGTTGCATTCCTCCAACCATGAGCCTCCCATTCCTCAAGGGGGCCTTTAGGGAAGGTGGTGGAGGGTGGCTGTAGCACCCCTCCTCCTCCAATTCATATGGTAACATTACATTGCTGACTGTTCCCCTTAGGGAGCGAGGGGCCAGTTAGCTGTATTCCTCACTCTGGCTGGAAAGTGCAGGGGGGAGACAAACGTGGACCAGCCCCAGCTGAGGACATACCTCCTCCCCTAATTGTGCCCGCTGGAACTGCAGCGGCCCTGGTGAGGCACTTCTCACCTGGCCCCAAGCTGCTGCGATGAGAGAGGTCTGGGATTGTCCTCTCTCTCAGGGGCAGCCTGCATACTGCACCCCTCCTCCCAAACCCCACCACAAAGCAATGATGTCAATGAAGAAAAACAAAAATTAAGGATCCAAGCAATGCTGGGTAAATATTCTCATTTAAAATAAAAGAAAAATGCTTTCAACATCTTATTTTGGTACAATATTCTTAGTCTCACACTACAGTAGCTTTCCCTCTGAATATTACAGAAGAAACTCACTTCTTACTTTAGAACAAAAAGCTCAACATGTCAAATTAAGTGCTTTGATATTTCTGTGCCATTCACTGTGAATGCACTAAAATTACTAATGCCTATAAACCATTATCATCAACAGAAATACAAACAGACTCATCCCATTATTAAGCTTCACTGCAGATAACTTGTATTCTTATTACAAGTTTGACAACCCTCCGATCAAACAGAGTTTTAAACTTATTTTTGTACTGACTGGAGACTGGATTTTGCTAGTGGGTTATACTACTGTTTCAGTTATAAGGCAGTAATTGAACTAATTCTGAATTGCAAATTGTGCAGTGGCAGACATCACGCTTCTGAAATTCTAAACCAACTGTTAAAAAAATTAACCACTGTAATGGAAATTGCAGATATCAGTACAACAAACATGTCAATGAAAATCTGGTTATTAGTACCTAGTTGAGCTTGGGTTGCATCTGCCATCTGAACCAAAGCATTTTCTTTTTTGTTAAACATGATCTTCACTCGATGTACATCACCATACACCCCTGTGGACATTGGGAAAATGTACTTTCAATACCTTAACTTGCCTGAAGCATTTGATTATCTATGGTGCAAAACACTCAAAACATCAAGTATGTATTACTGAAGTTAACCAGAAGAAATGGAGAATAATTAATTTATTTAAAACAATTGGGCACGGATCTTTGTATGAAGAGCTTTCACGGTTATGCCTCTGTATGCATTTTTCTGAAGAAGCTAAGAATTAGTTAACGGTTATGCCTCTATGCATTTTTCTGAAGAAGCTAAGAATTAGGTGGCACCTCTTTCAGTGTTAACACCATGAACAGTTATTTTTCACTACCAACTCTGACAACTATATAAAGACTATGGATGTTAACTAACGATTAATTTACTAGTTGAGTAAAGGAACTTCGACAGGAACTTCGCATTCCTCCTTTGAAATTCCCCCCTCCCATAGGGGCTCTTGTACATTTCAAAGGAGGAATGTGGAACTCCACGTGCAGCCCGGGGACAGTAGTAAGTCCTGCTGATTCCAGGATGCTCACGGGTGCCAGCTTTGAAATGTACAAGAGTCACCAGCATCAGCATGGAGCATGAGGTCAGTGGGGGACTCAATGTCCTCCACTGACTCCGGGCTCCATGCTGTGCTGCCGCTTTGAAACACCGTGGCAGCGCTTCAAAAGGACAGCGCCTCACAGCTGAAATCAGGATCAGTTGTGCGGTGCTGCCTCATTTCAAAGCAGCACCGCACAGAGCTGACCCCGGACTCCATGCGATGCTGCCCCTTTCAAGCGCTGTTTTAAAGTGGCACTGCTGCACAGCTGATCCTGGGGTCAACTCCTTGCAGTGCTGCTTTGAAATGCCAAGGCAGCATTTCCAAGTGGTGGCTCTGGCAGCGCTGCTGCTTTGAAGTAATCTCCCCCACCTCTATCTGATGGAGGCAGCAAGGGGTAGGGAAATCAACTTTGTTGACTGACTATCCGATAAGCATTTGCTTATCGGATAGGCGACTAGTCCTTAAAGACAGGGTCTTAGTTGGTGACAATGTACAGAACAGATCAACCAAGACACCAGTAAATCATCAACTACAAGAATCTGTGTATATATGAACCATTCACTTTATTTCCTCTGGTGCTGTTTCTTCCTGCCCTACGTTGGTAATACAAACTTTTTAAACATAAAGAGCACATACTCAGAACCTACTTCGGCATCATATCTAGGTTGGTCTTCCTAGGCCATTCCATGGATTTATTTTATTTTTCCTGCTTTGAAAGTCCTTCTCCCCCGTACTCCTATCACTACTGATCCACATGATCATCATCTTAAACCCAGAATATTTTCCGGGGATTTCCAGTTTGAAAACTGGTGCCACAAGCGTGCCTCAAATGTAGGCCATTTGACAGGACAGGGTAACTTATACTTTACAGAATAAGAAACAAAAATGAAGTAATAATTAAGTCAGTTTAACCAGATGAACAATGCTGATCCTGTAATTTTTCACTGTACATTTCACACAATGTTCTATAACAGAGGTAATAAAAACTTTACCAAATAGGATAAAGAGTCCATGAGGTGTGACAGCCTGTATAAATGACAAAACAAAACATTTAAGACCATTTGAATATATAAAAAATGCATGCCATAAGTAATTAGAGCCAACTGTTTTGGTCACTAATGGGTAGAAACAGCATAAAGCCTCTTAACAGGCATATCGCAATAGTTCACAATCCAATATGCTGAATTCTTTGTTTTTTGCAACAGTAAAAACTTGCCTATTCTAGAGCAGCTGTTTTCAAATTGTAGGCTGGGATCCCTAAGTGGGTTATGACCTCGTTTTACTGAGGTCACTAGAGCTGGTGTTAGACTCAGTAGGGCCCAGAGCCAAAGTCAGAGAACAGGCCCTACTGCCTGGGGCTTCCCTGGTATGTGGCAGGACTATGGGTTTGACTTCATACCTGGCAAGCAGGGCTCAGGTTACAGGCCCCCATTCCTGTGATGAAACCTTGGGGGTTGGCTTTGGCCCTCAGGCCCAGGTGGAGGGGCTTAGGTGAGTTCAGTCTGGTTCTTTAGGATCTTTCAGAAATGTTTCTTGTCAGATGGGGGTCACGGTGCAATGAAGTTTGAGAACTCCTACTAAACAGCATGCAGCTACTTCAAACTTAGTGTACGTAGCTACTACATGAAAATAATCTGCATGAACCAATTCTTGTTTTCAAACTAGTTCTCATTCACTAAAGCACTCAAGCTTATGCTTCAGTGTTTTCTGAATAGGGATGGTTTGTTGAATCAGAATCTAGAGGAACAGAGTAAATAAACTTCTTTTTTAAACCAGGAGATACATTTTATATTCTAACTCTTGTCAGTTTAAGAAACAGCAGCAAACTTCTTTAGGAAAATAAGGCTGTTTACTTAAACACATCTTGACACAAGCTCCAAATTCAGCTATGTACACTTGCCTCATTTGAATAAAAAATAAATACCTACGTAGAGAGAAGAATTTAGGAAGGTGAGCTTCCTAAATTCAGGCATCATGCTGGAGCTCCTGCTGCAGGCTCAACAGCATAGCTAGGAGCTACATGCAGGAAGGGGATGAAGTTGAAACATATACATGCAGCTACTAGAAGAACTGTCCCAAACACAGTAATTACTGAAGCACACACAAATGGTATCCTTATAAAAAAAACTTCAACAGGGATACTCTCCAAGTTGCACATGTCAAGCGTTCTCAGTTTTAGATTATCTTTTCAAAAAAATATTTTGGTCTGATAATTTTACTGCAAATGTATCGAAGTTAACAATAACAATAAGAAGTCAGGAAGATTAAAAACACAATGAATTTAGATGGTTACATTTATCAATTGATTTCCAAAAAGTGGTTCCTGAATATATATGTTAAAGGATACTCACAGGCCTCAATGTTACTTTTGGACTCTTAAACCATCTGTGATTTTATTCCAGAGAAAAATGCCAAAGCTTGGAAAGAACTGGAAAAACCTTAAACAATGAATCATCTCTTGCAGCACCTTAGAGACTTAACAAAACATATAGATGGTGGGATGAGCTTTCGTGGGCACAACCCAGTGGTGACCATGAAAGCTCACGATAGAGACTAACAAAACATGTAGATTGTAAGGTGCTTCAAGACTATTCCTTGTTTTTTATGTTTTTCCAGTTACAGACTAACTCAGCTACTCCTCTGAAAGTTGAAAAGAATAGTTACAGTTTAGAAGGGCACTTATGGCCACTCTTCAAGCTCGCTACCACCCACCCATTTCTTTTTTCTGGAGAATCCGATGGCGTCCTGTGTCCAATTTAGATTTTAGGAAAAACATTTTAATATATATTCTATGCCCATATCAAACTACCACCAACTACTTGAATTGTCTGTTTCCCCACCATCCAAGCTTACATCAGCATTGAGGTTGCTGACAAGCAAAACAGAATTTCCTGGAACACCAGTAACTCCGGGAATAGCCATTCGTCCAGTCATTGCAGAGGTGGTAATTGTGAGAGGACCAAGTGCTCCAGGAACTGCTGGGACTGAAAGACCTGAAAAACAACACTCATCTTATACCCCAAAGGAAGAGGGGAAACTATTTCAGAAGGCTAAAAGCAATTCCAATTAGGTAATATTTTAAAAATAAATTCAACATCCAATAATGAAGTGCATCAAATGCATAGGTTAGCTGGTTCTCCCAAAAGACTGTTTATGATAGACGCAGGCCAATGGTTCCTCTTTTCCTAGGATAAAAAATCCAAACCCAACAAAAATAGATCCTTAGGATCAGAGGGGCACATGGGCAGGTGGGCTATTTTGGGAGCTGAACGAGTGCTACTGAAGCTTGCTTTTTAACCACAGACTTCTGGATCTTGCACTTTTCAGCGTCATTACAAAATACAAGCCTACTACATACAAACCTTGTTATCCAGCACTTGAATAACCAAAAAACTCTGTTAATTAGCACCTTCCAACAGACAGCAATACCGTTCCCCATTCGGTTAACCGGAAAAATTCTGGTAGCCATCTGGCATAATTTTTCGGCACTTGTGGAAGTTGCATTTGCAAGCTTTGTGGCAGTAAAGATTGTTACTTGTCCTGTCTGAATACAGACCTACCTCTTTTCCTGTCTCCGAGTACAGTCGATTATTATGGCTGGCAGTACACTAGCAACAGGCAAAGGACAGAAAATTGGTTGTGCTGACCATAACCCAGAAATTGGACCTAATTAGGAATTTTGAAAGAGGAGAAAACAGGTGCCAACTGATGCAAGAATTTGGTTTTGGCTCACCGATGATCTACGGTATTAAGAAGCAGAAGGCAGAACTGATAAAATTCATGTCAAGTGCCCTAATGAGCAAAGCAATTGAGAAATGCCGTACTATGCAAAAACCAAAATTGAAGCAATTAGACAACATGCTCTATGAATGATTTTCCTGGAAGTATTCTGAGGGAGCTCCAATTTCTGGCCCAATAGTGATTGAAAAGGTCAAGAACTTATCAGCAGATGAAAATGAGTGAGGCCTGTGTTTTTTCTGATGGTTGGTTGGTATGCTTTAAGGTGCAACATGGTATCAGAGGCCTTGATATCTCTAAAGAAAAACAGTCTGCTGATTATGAAGCGGCAGAGAAATAGTGTGTTTTTTAAGAAGCTGATTCGTGAGCATGGCGTAACCCTAGAGAACCTCTAACAAGACTGATGAAATGGGATTCTTGGTGTTGCCTGCTGTCTTCCACCCTTGCTGGAACAAGTGAAGTTAGTGCATCTGTATTCAAGAGGAACAAGGACTGCATCACTCTGCTTATATGTGCAAATGCTTCTGGCACACCCATAATCAAGCTGCTCATGATTTCAAATTTCAAGTGGCCAAGAGGATTCAAGGATACTGTCCATCTGACAGTGAAGTACAAGGCCTGGTCTAATGCATGGATGGACAAGGACATATTTTTAATTGTTCCACCATATCTTTGTTCCTGCTGTGAAAGACCTCCTGAAAGAACTTGGGCGTGCCAGAAGACACAGGTCATTCTGCTTTTAGATAACTGTGAAGGTCACTTCTGAACAAAGCTTGTGTCTGGCAATATTTTCATGGTGTTCCTGACTATAGATGTTAGCTTATTTATTCAGCCAATGGATCGGGGAATTATTCAAAACCAGAAGCTCAACTCTGAAGGGACAATCCAAGACTCTCAGTCACGGTACAGCATTAAGGATGCAATCTTCAATGGGGCATGTGCCTGGTCTGCTGTTAAGCCTATAACTTTGAAGGGAACATGGAGAAATTGTGGGTGGAAGTGATATTTATGGAGGGGTCCTCTGACAAAGAATTTCAAGACTTTAACTTAAGAGCAAAAAGGAGAACATAACAGGAGATACCTGATGTCCTTCAAAATGGTGACCCCACAAACCCAATCACTAAACGAAGTATAATAAAATTGAAGAGGATAATCATCGATCAAGGCTTAGATGTTAGAAAAACCCTGAAAGACTCTGAAATAACAGAAACAGTTGTCCATCCAGAGAGAAGTACCTGTACTGAGGATGACATTCAGAGGAAGAAGAAAATACTGAAGAAACCAAAATTGCTGAAGAAAATACTGAAGAAACCAAAACCAGATTATTGCTGCACTGTGTCTGGAAACTTTGGTGCAGTTTGCTGAGCAGCAGTCTTATTCTGCTCAGGAACTCATGCAGATTATCCCGAAAAATTTCCTGAAGAAAAGGCAACTGACTTGCAGGCAAGCAAACATCTTCAGGATGCTTCAAAAAGCTTCTGCAACTTGTGCCACTGGTCCAGCACCATCAGACAGCAGAAATTGTTGATATTGATGACTGAGGCAACAGAGGAGCAGTAAATTACAGTAATGGATACCATAATACTGTTTTGTTATCAGTTGCAGTGTATATACTGTAGTAATAAAGTTAAAAGTTGTAGTGTTAAGTATGGCTATTTTATTCCATTCAGTTAAAAATATCAGTAGTGTTTAATATGCAGAATAGTGTTAAAAATTGTAGTGTATTTAGTAATACTCTAGTGATAAAAGTTGTAGTGTTAAAAATGGTTATTTTATTTTTTAAACATTTTTGTGTTCAAAAAAGTTGAATCAACTGGCACATTTATTTAACGGACAACACTCATTCCCCAACCATGCTGAGTAACAAAGTTTGTATTGTACCTCAAAATAAAATGACAGTGACTTATAAGGCAATATTGCGTAATAAAATTGTAAGCATGTTTCTCAAAAAGCTAAGAGTAGCAAAAAAGCTACAGCAAAATAATGATTTGTAGAATTACAGACTGCTACAGTTATATCACTTGCAAGTAGCCCTTTTTTTCTGTGTGTAATTTCTTAATAGTATCAGAAGCCAGTGCTCAAGTGATGGACAGTACATCATGGCAACATACAATTCTTAAAATAAATTGTAATTAGCGATTCTGTGGTTAGTATGCTATACAAACAGGTAGACTGACTGCTCTTAACGAACACTTATAAATCTTGATATCACTACATATCACTTTGTCGAGCTGAATTTCAACATTTTAAGGCAGTCTAATTTACCAAACCAAACACACACACAAAAAAAAAAATACTTACCTGCAGCTTGAGGAAAGCCAATGGCTGGGGCAAATCCAGCTGCCCCTGCATATGGTGAAGAGATTATTCCTGGTGTGCCTAGAATTCAGACACATTCAATTAAAAACCTATTCCATCATATTAGCAAATAGAAAGATTGTCAGTAGACATACATTTCATATCACTGAAAGAAAAAAAAAAGCAGTCACCTGCTCTACAATTCAATTCACCCCCCATATTCTCCCCATCTTTCATTTACAATACATAACATTTCTAGAAGTTTTCAAGGGGAGAACATTAATCTAACAAACAAACTGATATAGCCTGAAACAATGTATCAGAGGGGCATGAACTGCCCCATTGATTTTAATGGCTTATCTCTGAAACCTCAATGTCAGTTTATATATTAGTGATAGAAATGTAGCCTTGTTAGTCTGGTGTAGCTGAAACAAAAAACAGGACTATGTAGCACTTTAAAGACTAACAAAGATGGTTTATTAGGTAATGAGCTTTCATGGGCCAGAGCCACTTCCTCAGATCAAATAGTGGAAGAAAATTGTTACAACCATATATACCAAAGGATACAATTAAAAAAAATGAACACATATTAAAAGAACAAATCAAATTTCAGAACGGAAGTGGATGGGGGGGGGCGGTAAATGTCTGTGAGTTAATGATATTAGAGGTGATAATTGGGGAAGCTATCTTTGTAACGGGTAAGATAATTAATGTCTTTGTTTCAGCTTAGGTGTAAAGTGTTGAATTTAAGCATGAATGACAGTTCAGAAGATTCTCTTTCAAGTGTAGTCTTAAAAGGTCTTTGAAGCAGGATGCAGGGAATCAAGTGGTTGAGACAATGTCCTTTCTGGTTGAAATGACAAGAAAGTTTTTTCTTTGTGATCCTGTCTGATATCTGTTTTGTGGGCATTGATTCTTTGGTGAAGTGTCTGAGACCTTTGTCCGATGTACATAGCAGAAAAACACTTTCGGCACATGATAGCATAAATTATATTTCTGGATGAGCAGGAATATGTGCTCTTGATCTTATAACTCACTTGGTTAGGCCCAAAAAGGTTTCAGCAGAGTGAATAAGAGGACAAAGCTGGCAATGGGGTTTGTTGCAAGGGAAGGTACCAGGGTTGGTATTAGTGTGGTATGTCCTGTGGTTGTTGGTAAGAATCATCTTGAGGTTAGGTCGTTGTCTATAGGAGACTATGGGTCTGTATCGCAGAGACTCTTGGAGTTTAGTATTCTGTTCCAGTACAGGCTGTAGTTTATTGATAATGTGTTGGACAGGTTTAAGTTGGGGGCTGCAGGTGATGACAAGTAGTGTTCTATTGTTGGTTTTCTTGGGTCTGTCTTGAAGTAGATGGTTTCTAGGTATTCATCTGGCTCTTTCAATTTGCTTTTTTTTCCTCTCCGGGTAGTTGAGGTTTATAAATGCTTGGTAGAGATCCTGAAGTTTCTGGTCTCTGTCAGTGGGATTAGAGCAGATGCGGTTGTATTGAAGGGCTTGGCTATAGATGACGGATCGTATGGTGTGTTCTGGATGGGAGCTGGAGGCATGTAGGTAACTGTATGAGTCAGTGGGTTTTCTGTAGGGAGTGGTGTCTAATTTTCCATTGTTGATTTGTACGGTGGTGTCCAGGAAGTGGATCTCTCGTGTAGAATGGTCCAGGCTGAGGTTGATGGTGGAATCTCAACTACCCACCCGGAGAAATAAAATAAGCAAATTGAAAGAGCCAGACGAATACCTAGAAACCATCTACTTCAAAGCATCCCCCTTCTGTTCTGAAATTTGATTTGTCCTTTTCATGTGTGTTCATTTTTTTTAATTGTATCCTTTGGTATATATGGTTCTGACAATTTTCTTCCAGTATTTGATCTGAGGAAGTGGGTCAGGCCCACAAAAGCTCATAACCTATTAAACCATCTTGTTAGTCTTTAAAGTGCTACATAGTCCTGGTTTTTGTTTCAGTTTATATATTAGGCCTTGTTTACACTACTCCAGGCCGTGGACTTAAGTTATGCAATTTAAGCTACTTGAATACTGCGGTATCTTTACTGTGGTAAATCGACAGCTAGCACTCTGCCATCAAATCTGCCTACTCTTCTTGTTGTGCTGGAGTACTGGAATGAACGGGAAAGCACTCGGCAGTCAATTTATCGTGTGTCGTCCCATCTAGTCTAGTATGCTAGATGTGATGAATCAGCCCCTGCTGATATGATCACTACCCGTGGTTCTATCCCTTAGTCAAAACATGACTTCAGTGTTAACGCTCTCATGGCTAATGAGTGTAAAAGAAATACTTAGTAAATGCACTTATTCTATCACAACCTGCTTCCCATGCTTTCAAAAATGCTAACATTCCCACTTGCTGAGCTTCTCTTTGTAATGATGAAGGCTACAAACTGGAAATCAGGAAACATACATGGACTAAATATAATAAAATTTGCTTATTTTACAGTTTGCATCATCATCTAGGTTTTAAAATCACCCAACTACCCTGAAGAGCACACAGATTGATGTTCTGTACACACAAACCCTCCCCCTTTTCAAAAGGAAATGTTCGGGGGGAGGGGGGGGGAATCTATTTATTCACTGAATTACATTTCTCTCAAGTGGTGGACTAAAATGTAGTGTATATATAGGGCCCTTCATTTTTGTTTTTTATTTAATTTCACCCAGCAATTTATCCGTGTTTATTACAAAAACAAAACAACAACAAAGGTGAAAATTGGTGAAAAAGAACTATTTCTGGGTAAATATCAGCGTTTATTTTGGTGGACAGAATGATGGGGGGAAATATTCAGTAGATTAATGCTTTAATGAATAGCATTCAATATTGTTTTCTGCAGAACTAGAACAGAACCCAAAACAAATGCGACCACTGAGTTTAAGAAAACAATATATCTCTAATCCCCAAATAAAACTTTCCATTTGAATACACAGTTTACTGTTATAGACTTAAAATTATTAGCTTATAAACATTTACATTTAATAAGTAGGCCACATTTCCTTCACATGTACTCAACTTCATCCTTGGTTGGTTTATGTTTATTAAAACTTTTGAATACTTTGTTCTGAAATGTAGTGTGATACATCTTTAAACCTTCATCTGCTAACATCTTGAAACGTGCATGTGGTGGGTGAGAGGACCATCAGTATGTTCACATGTGCATGCATTTCAGAGCTTGCATTCCTGTTCGTTTATTGTGTAAGTCTTCTAGACTAAAACACAACCTTACATCAAGAGGCAGCTTTGCATATACACAGACTAATACCTTTGAGGGGAAGCCATGTTAGTCTGTAACTTTAAAAACAAGCACCAGTCTGGTGGCACCTTAGAGACTAAAACAGGGCCCATGGCGAGTAGATTACAACCCGAAAGAGCCGGCGCAGAGTGATCTGCGCATGTGCAAAATGCAGAACTGCACAGCTGGCGTGTGGGGCTCACCGCCACTTGGCGAGCCCTGCTAATAAATATATTCGGTCATGAGCTTTCACGGATAAAACCCACTTCATCAGATGAGTTAGAATGGAAATTACAGAATTCAAGAATATAAAAACAAAAGCAATTACCTACAAATTGTAGGATCAATATTAATAAAGCTAATTAAGTAGCTGGATGTGTACCGTTCATCACATTTGATATGGAAATGTGAGTATTTCTGTGTATTTCCCAAAGGTGGGGAAAATTGCCTTTGTAGTGCTTAACCAGTTAATACAGCGATTCCCAACCTTTTTCCCAGGAACCCCTAAAATAATTTTTCATATCCCGAGGAACCCCTACCTATGAAAACGTTTGCTTGGCCAGAAAAAGTTAACAGCGGGGAGCGCAATTCAATTACTGCTCAATTTTTTCAAGAACATTTATTTGTAAAGAGAGGTAGAGAGAGAGAGAGAGAGAGAGAAAGAGAGAGAGAGAGTGTGATCTCTTTTTTTTCCATCATCAAATATCCTCCTCCCGCTCCTGCCTCACTCTCTCTTTCTCTTCTCCTTCCCATTCTGCCTCTCACTCGCAGAGCCCAAATGGCTGCTTGCTCCCGCATGGCAGCCTGGCTGAGCAGTGCAGAAGTCAGCCAAGTGCCAGGGCAGGAAGTGAAGGCCATGACAGAGGCTCCAAGCCCCCCGCTGAGCGGCGCAGAAGTCAGCCGAGCGCCAGGGCGGGAGGCAAAGGGGGGCAAGGCGCTGACGTGCAGTGTGACAGCAGCTCCAGGCCCCACCCCCTGGCTGTGAACGTCACCCCCTTATTCCCTTCACCTCCCGCAGTGGTGCTCGGCTGACTCATGCAGTGCTGCTTGCGCCACTTGCTCCTGTGCAGCGGCCTGGCTGAATGCCACAGAAGGCAGCCGAGCACCAGGGCAGGAGACGAAGGGCATGACAGATGCTCCAGGCCCTGCCCAGAGTTATTTATTCCACGATTTCTCGCGGAACCCCTGATGATGGTCTACGAACTCCAGTTGGGAAACACTGAGTTAATAATAAGCCCAAGTTGATAATGTCGAACTAATAAATGAACTCTAGTTCAGCTGTCTCCCTCCATATTTGGGGGAGAAAATTGCTTTGTAAAAGAATGGCTACGGTTAAATACATTACTGAAGGTTAAAATCTTTGCCTAGAGGTTTGTGTGTGTTACAATTCCTGATGGCAGATTTGTGTTCAATTATTCTGTGTTGCAGAGACTGCATATATCTCATGTATTTTCTTAACAAAACAAGCTATTTTATATATATTTAAATGATACAAAAGGATGAAAATCAAGGGGAAAAAATACTTTGAAAAACTCAAGGGTTTTTTTTTGTAAAAAATTAGTTTAAACTGAAAATGAAAGGGCTTATCTACACAATATGTAAATAAGTAACATGAACATGGTATGCTCATTTTTAATACTTAGTCTCAAAGACAGAAAACACATTGAATTAGAGAAATTTCCTAAAATATGGAATTTAGTGGGTATAGTTTAATACTGTACAAATTACTACCATAACAACTGAAGCAGACACCTAAGCTCTGACAAATGATTTTGGCAGACCACTACTTCTCCTATCTATAGTCAAAGTGTCCCTTATATAAACAATGCAAAGCATTAATCACA